GAAATTTAAGACTATCACATCTTTTGTAATCTTCTTAAAATATGTCTTAATATGATTTAAAACAGTGAATTTTGATGTCACTAACAGTGTCTGAATAATTTCTTATAAATATTGGCTAAGTTATTCACATTTGACAAAGAAGATGTTTGTTGATATTGATAGAGCTCTCCTAAGTTATAAAAAGTATCTCAGATCCTCAAACATGGGCCTCCTGGCTCCGCCTCCTGGCCCCGCCTCCTTCCTGTTATAAACTTCGAGGCGACCGAGCCTTTGCAGTCAAGGCCCCACGGTTGTGGAACAGCCTTCCTCCCTCAGTCAGGGTCTGCCCCCTCTGTGGAGTCTTTTAAGTCACGCCTCAAAACACACTTTTACATGTTGGCTTTTGAGTCCTAATTAGGTTGCTTGTGTTTCTTTCTGATGTATTTCTATCAAATATCATTTAATATTAAAGTCTGATTATATTGTTAGTATTCTGTGTGTGCATTTGTGTTTGGGCACATATGTATGTGTGAGTTTTTGTCTTGTTTTTCTAAATGTGCTTTATGAATACATTTGATTGATTGATGTTGTTTTTTAAAGTGATACATGATTTGGGTCTTTTCTGGAATTTAACTACTTTAAATTTAATATAATTTAAGAGATAAATCTTAACACTAGTTTCAGCTCATAATTCTTCAAGTCATTTTTACTTCTGGGCTCAGCACTGTTTGAATTTGACCAAATTGTAGGTACAGTAATTTACCTTTTTACATCTTTGTTTCCAAATCAAACAGCAAGAACACCAAAGGCTGAACTGAGAGCTGACAGGACATCAATTCCAGCAGGGGGCGCTGTGACCCTGACCTGTGATGTGAACCCTCCATCATCTGGCTGGACGTACATCTTGTACAGAGGAGATCACCTGGGCACACAAGATGATGGTAAAAACTTCAATGGACGAATCAGTGTCTCCAAGGGAGGAGTCTACAGGTGCAGAGGAGTGAGAGGAGAACCAGTTTACTACACAGAGGACAGTGATTCAGTCACTATCAACATCATTTGTGAGTTTAACATTTTTGAAAACTTGTAATAATATATTCTATCCATAAATTGATTGATAAAAAGACTAAAGATGTTTCTTTTTTTCTCATCATTGTGTCCTTGTTGGGATCTCTTGAACACAAACAGTATCAGACAGAGCTGTTGTGACTCTTCAGCCCCATTGGACTGAGATACACAGCGGAGAGAAGATCACTTTTAGATGTGAAATCGAGGGTGGAGACGACTCTGAGTGGGAGTATGAGTGGGAAACAACCAGCTCTGATAGATCTGTAAGACAAAGTGAATCCTTTGAAATCAGTGCTACTTCTCACAGTGAAGGAGAATACAAGTGTAAGGGAAAACACAAAACTGAGGTACTTTCCTCAACACAGTGGAGCACTCCAATCACATTGACAGTATCAGGTAAGATGGACTTAAAATCAACATGAAAACAGTTTTTAGGATGTTTGTGTATGTTAAGAGAAACTATCATTCATAGCTGAACAGTACTCAAATTGTGACTTTATTTCTTCATTGAGAAAGTTTTAGTGCAGATCACAGTGATTAAGTGTTTCTTTGGTACAATAAGTTTCATGGATGAAGTTCATGTGTATTTATTTCCACAAGGTATTTTATTAATGGCTATTTAAAGAAACAGTAATCATTTTTATATCCCTGTTTTAAACTGAACAGAAAATAGTAAGTTTTGCATATTGACATTCTTTGGTGTAGATTTAAGGTTTTTTCATCTTTGTATACTTAGTGAATTCTTCAACATTAGCGGTTGCAAACAAGGCTGTCGTGACTCTGCACCCCAACTGGTCTGAAATCTACTCTGAAGAGTCGATTACTCTAAGATGTGAGATAAAGGATGGAGACGACGCTGAGTGGGAGTACGAGTGGAAAACAAGCAACTCATTCAAACCTCCAAAGGAAAAGGAATACAGTATTGGACCTGCTTATACAACACACAGTGGAAACTACAGTTGTAAGGGCAGAAAAAAAAGTGACCAGTCTCCAACAGGTTGGAGCGATCCCATCACATTAACGGTTTTATACAGTAAGTAACATTTCTTTCATATAAACATTATACTGTACTATCAGATATTCCATCATTACATGGTTTTATTTCTTTGAATAATCACTTTTCCAACAGGATCACCCCAGCCTGTCCTCACCGTGTCTCCACTCTGGCTGAGTCCTGGAGACTCTGTGACTCTGAACTGTGAGGTTAAACAGCCATCAGCAGGATGGAGGTTCTACTGGTATGAAGCTATTCCCAAACTACCTGACAACTCCTACAACTCCTACAACTACCAGCTGCTATCTGGAAGCAGAGATGGAACTGAAAAGTATTCCTTCATTGTTCATGGACAGACACACACAGCAGGATATGTGTGCAGAGCTGGAAGAGGAGAAATGAACACTCCTTATAGTGAACCAAAGTTTGTCTGGTCTGGAGGTCAGTTTGTTTCTGTCTTTATCTTGAGATTAATATCTTTATTCAGTTTTGATCTATGAACAACATAGAGTTTCTTCAGTACTATTGTCTGTATTGTACAACAAACTCGTTTCCTTGGTGAGTGGTTGATGTTGTTTTTGGTAGCATGAAATACAGTTAAAGGAAGATTATTAGAGTCTATCACTTAAATAATCGTTCAATAAAAACATTTTACTTTGTATAATTAAGCATCTTATTGCTAATTGCTTACTCTCACATGTGAGGGCTTGTTTGATTAAAATAGTTGGTCAGTAATCAGTGGTATGTAGACTCTATATGAAAAATCTAATTCAGCCATTCCTGATAAAACAGTATATGGACTGATGGAAAAGAAGGGAAAAAACCAAGCCACAGACTTGAAACACAAATAAAAAGTAAGAATGCAACTACTCATGGAGAAACATCAGTATGAAATGTTAATCCTTCATATCTTTGAAAAATTACAGGTCAAAGAAAGTCTTTCAATTTATAGACAGAAGCAAGGGTTCCTTGGTTGTCTATCTTTATTAAATATAAAGTCCAATGGCAGCTAACGGTCTGGGCTTTGTTGAACCTCTTGTTTCTTTCTTTCTTTTTTTAGATTTGCCTTCATCAGCATCTCTCACAGTGAGTCCTGAAAGAGTGCAACACTTCACCTCTGATTCTGTCTCACTGGAGTGTAAGGGGAACTCTACTCAGTGGAGAGTGAAGTTTCAATGGGACAGCTTCCTGGCAGATTGCTCCCTGAGGGATACAATGACTGGATCAACATGCACAATAGAGTACATTGAGAAATAATGTGTACTGGTGTGAGTCTGGATCAGGGGAGTTCAGCAACGCTGTCAACATCACTAAACAGAGTATGTTTTTATTACATTTCTTCTTAAAGTTTTTATCTTTCAGCATCCAAGTATTCAATTCAACATCATTCAGTTCCACGTTATCTCCATCGACATTGAGAAGTAAAAGAGCAGCCCAGTGTGGGAGAGTTTACTCTCTTAATTAGATAAAAACAAAGATTAAGGTCTGAGTGTATATCATTATTAAATACTGATCACATTTGTAGACAGTTGCTGTTCAAACACATTTGATGCCAAAGTCTTAAACATAAGAAGGAGTAAGGTGTACACAAGATAACACATCAGATTAATCATCACTTTGAAGCATTGCTGTAAAAAAAGAAGAAATATATTCTCATCATTCTGTGTCTGCTAATTTTCATGTTTGAACCTGATGACCTCTGACTGAATCCTCTTTTCTTTAACTGTTTTACAGAGTCTGAAATTATCCTGGTGAGCCCTGTCCATCCAGTGACTGAAGGAAGTTCAGTTAGTCTTAGCTGCAGATTGAGAAGCTCAGATATTGTTTCCAATGTGTTCTTCTATCAGAATAACAAACTCATTCAAAATGATACCAGAAAGGAGCTTAATATCTCTGCTGTGTCAAAGTCTGATGAGGGCTTCTACAAGTGTCAGACCTCAGGGAGAGAGTCGTCTCAGAGTTGGATGTCAGTAAAAGGTGAGTAAGATAACCAACACTTGTCTGCTTTAGTGTTTACCAGGATTTCTTTAGTATCCTTCGAAAGGGAAAATCAAGTGAAATCTTTTGTTTGTACCTCCTGGATTCTTAAACGTAGGTGATCACATTATGTATTCATGTTGAATATTATTTGTATACATTTTAGTGGTTTTGTCTTTACTACCAGGACTGAAATAACACTTTGAATCAGTTGAAGGAGTGTTTGTATGATTGTAGTATCAGTGACTATTTGTTATTCTTTATGGCAGTGGAAATGCTGTTTGAGGAATCCACATTTCCTGTAATTCCTGTGATTGTTGGGCTGATTTCTGGAGTAGTGCTTACAATGTTTCTGCTCCTATTGTATCATTTCCTTCAGTCCAAGGGTAAGACCTTTCTTTTACTTCTAATTGTTAAATGCTTTATTTATATTAAATATAGAAATGCACTGACAAAGATTAGCAATTGACTTATATAAAGTAAAAAACAATGTAACAGCAAATGTCTTTTCACAGACTCGTGCTTCAGGAGGTAGGTTCAACTCTCTCTTTACTTATTTTAAATATAGCAGTAATTAAAACCATGGTCCTCAATGTAATGTTTGTCAATCCTGCATGTTTAAGGCCAAGCCAGTCTGAGAGTAACAACCAAGACTCTGCCAGAAGTCATGAACTTTACCAGAATGTGGCTCAACCTGATGTGTACTCTACTCTCCTGCACGGTAAGCATTTCATCTTGATATTGTGTATTTATACACACAATTTTAGAAATTAATGTAGCCTTCAAAATATATGAATCCAAAATGGGATGAAAGTGACTTTTGCTTGGTTTTGACTTCTCTATAGGTGATGCCAGTGTCTACGAAACACTGCAAATCTCTGAGGACAACAACGCTGGTACTGTAGTTTTTTAAATTAATATACACTGAATGAAATATTTCAAATTTAAGGAAAACATGTCACAAAAGAGTTTCATGTTCGTCATGCATTTGTCTATTTGAACGACACTTGTCCTTACAAACTTTGATGAACAAATACTTGCTTGATTTTCATTTTTCTAAAGGGGATGATTACGTCAACCAATCAGTAAGGCTCTGAAGACACTGAAAATGGTACAGTGTATACCTTTATATTCATGTGCACTCCAAAAATGCCCAATGTAATACAGTTGAAAACATGAATATATATTTATTTCTTTACTGGGTTTTTTGGAATAGAGGCCAGACGTCTTAAATCAACAGCAAATAAATCAAAATAATGTTAGTTGGATTCTTGTTTCTAGTTTTAAAACGACAGTCTTTGAGTTAAAAGACATGCATAACTATATACAGAAGCCACTTGGCCATCTGATTACTAGAGAGGACCTCTGAGACATATCTGGTCTGAATGTTTTTAAAGTAGATATTTTGTGCAAAGAAAAGTGTGGGACTACACGGACATAAAAGACAAAACCTTTGGATAATTTAAATACAAGCAACTGTATACTGTGGACTAACATGTTTGTGTTTACTTCCCCAGTTCTTTGAACTCACAGTTTGTAAATTCCGCCGCCAGGGGACAACCACAAAAGACGACATCAAGGCTGGTGGGGAATCATGGGAGTGATTCTCTCTGCTCCTCTGTCCCCAACCCTGATGAAAATGAGCTAAGAGTTGACCGTAGTGAAGACAAACGAGTGAAACCGACCTGAGGAAGAGAATATGTTTACAGACGATGTATCCAAGTCTGATTTACATGAAGTTTTTATCACAGCAGCACATACAGCAACAGTACGGTGTTTCCATGGCAACGATATACATGTCGTGTCTGACAACACGGCTTCTGTTACTATAATATTAAGGATTTCTCTGGCTTTGATAACTGTTGGAAATATTTGCGGGAATGTAAGTACTAGACAAAAAATATATTTATAATTTAAGTTTCTTCAATTTTGAATTATTTAGATATTTAAGTGTAAAAATTCATATAACTTTCTACATATTGTATATTTAAAGGAGCTGATTAAATTACATAAATTATGTTCACATCGTTACTTAACATGCAACTCTGCTTTCCAACTATCACAAATGTTCAAGGGTTAGTACAGTTCATTCGTTTTCTGGTTAAATAAGAGTGACAGAATATGTATTACATTACTCATACTAGCTAAAAGCTTACAGTTATTACCAGAATATTCTTGACTATTCTTATTTTTAGAAGTATATGTTTTATTTTGTCATTTATCTGTCAATTTTGTGTATTAAACTCTGGATACGAGTTGTTTCAGCTGCTTCATACTGTATATTTTAGCTTGAGCACCCAGTTGATAGTGCAGCTTTAAAGTCGGCTTCTTTGTCAGTGTTGGCTTCCAAAGATCCCGGATGGACATCAACATTACTTTTATATCTGTGATGACCTGCTCTCAACCAACATAATCATTTACATTATAGTTTATTGAACCGTCAGTAATTTGTATCTTAATTATTTCATAGTTATGTATTGTTAAAGTATTTCTGCTGTAATGTTCCTAATAAATGTTTTAAACAGGAACAACAGTTTCTTTTGGTTGTTCTTGCTTTTTGACCAACCAGCCAATAAGAATAAGGTCACATCCACCCCAGATGCAGTTCTGACCCTCATCCCTGTGGTGTCTGTTATCCCTCTCTCTCTTTCCCATATTTCCCGTCTATCTTCAGCTTTACTATCTAATAAAGACGAATGCTAAAAATCATCCTTGAAAGAAGTTATGGTTGTTACTTTTAGTCGTTATCTGTCAAAGACGTGAAGTTCTCTACCGTTGAAAATATAGAAATACAAATTATTAACAATTTCACCTTTTTACAGCATTGCAGCTTTGTGGCAGAAAATAACCAAGGTCCTGCATCCCATGAGCAGCCATTTTGTTTTCTTCTTGACTTAAAAGCAGAGCTTTAAATGTTACACATTATTGGTAGTTTCCTTTTAGTAGTTTACTCAATCAGTATTTACAAATTACCCCCATACAAGAATATATAAACGTTCTATTCAAATTATGAATAAAATACGTTGAGGGATTAAACTTGTTGAAAAGGTTTAGGCTGACTCTGAAGCTTTCTATACCTTCTCTTTTTAACATCAAATATACTTGAAGTCGACCCTTTAACTACTAAGTTCACTTCACAGAAACAGTTTCAAACATTTCAAACAAAACAAAATGAAGTTCTAAAACATTTTATACTAATCAAGTAGGCATTAAAAACAAGACACAACCAACAGTTTCAGTCTTTGATAATCATACTTTTGTTCTTATATATGATGCTATACTCTATATGTATATATCTATACATTTGGTGAAGCACTTTGTAACCTTGATTAGTGAAGTGCTATATAAATAAAGTTATTATTACTATATCTTTTTATCACCTTCTTTTAAACATGTTTTATGAGCTTTGAGCCTTTATTTGTTAGGACAGTGGATAGCATCAGAAACTTGAGAGAGAGGGTAAAATAGTTGCAAGAGTAGCC